TTTCTTAAACTTTTTGAACTATATTTATAATTTATAATTTATATATTTCGTAAAATACAACCTTTTATATTGTAGTCCTGGACGTTCTAGCTAGGCTACTTGTATAGCCTGTGTTAAGAACAGTCCGTTGCTGAGTTCCATAAAATTAAGCAAAAGGTACATAGCACATAAAATTTTGAAATTACTTTGTATTACATTAATTGATGTGTTTGCTTGTGTGCACGTGTGAGTGTGTGAGTGTGTGAGAGTGTATGTGTGTGCGTGTACGTGTAATGTCTATGCATGTGTGTGAATCTATGGATTATCTACTTATTATAGGCTTTTTGAAGTCATCAGCTTCTCCGTTTCCATATAGTTTTTCTTAGAGATATATTGAGTAATTTGAGATTTTATTGAAGCATAGGAGGATTTATGTATCGGTAAGATTTGGTTAAATTTATTATACAGAAATGGTCCTAGGTAGAAAAAGAATCGTTTGGTGAAAGCGAAGTAAGTGTGAGGTGTAGTGTAGATTTTGATTCTTCGTTTAGGTATAGCGTCTTCATGTATGTGTGGAGCTTTTGTGTGCTGTTGGAGTATAGAGCTTAATATGAAAAGTTGTCGAACTGTAAGAACGTTGCAGTTTTGATATAACTCGAAAGTGGGATACCGTATTGGGCGAAAACTAGCAACTTTAAGTACGGCTCTCTGGGCTACCTCCAGTGGTTTTAAAAGCGTTTTAGCGGCACCACCCCAAACTGTGATACAGTAGCAAATAATTGACTGACACATAGCGTAATACACGGTACGAATGATGTGAGCATTGGCGATGTGTCGAAGGGTTTTAAAAATGTAGATGAGTTTTCGTACTCGATTTGCTAAGTGTATAATGTGTGTTTTAAAATTGAGATGCTTATCAAGTATGACACCCAGGTATTTGATAGTGTCGGTAGAAGTTATTGATGGACAGTTACAATTAGGTGAGTCCTTGTTGCAGGTGTGTGCTTGTAGTATAATTGGTGTCTTCGGTTGAGATGAGGAGTTAAGTGAGAATGTGATGAGTTTGGTTTTAGAGGTGTTCAGTGTAAGTGAGTGTGAGATGAGCCATTTATAGATGGTGTTGAATCCATTGAGGGCTGCAGTTTGTGTTTGTGACCATATGTCACCATAGAAGGTAATGGCAGTGTCGTCAGCAAAGGAAATTATTTGTCCTGACAGTAAGGTGGTTTGACAAAGGTTATTAATGTAGACCAGGAATAAGGTAGGGCCTAATACGCTGCCCTGCGGGACTCCATATGAAATGGGCAGCTCATCACTTAAATATTTGTCAATTATCACTCTTTGTGAGCGGCCAGTGAGATAGGATTTAAAGAGTTGAAGCTGTGTATCTCTAACACCCATGTTTTCAAGTTTGGAAATAAGGCATGCGATAGGGACCGTATCAAACGCTTTTGCAAGATCAAGGAACACTGTAAGGACTTTTTTATGTTGGTTAAGTCTTTCAACTATTCCATTTACAAGTTCTAAAGCTGCAGAGGAAGTTGATTTCATTTTTCTAAAGCCGAACTGATTCCGGGACAGTAACGCATTAGACTCCAGATAATTAATAAGCCTTTTATTCATTAGACGTTCCATGACCTTGGAGAGTGCTGTTAGAATGGCAATTGGGCGGTAGTTATTGACATTAGTACGGTCACCAGCCTTGAAAATTGGATGAATGATTGCCTTTTTAAACGAAGATGGGAAAGTGCCGGAGGCAAAGCACAGATTGATAATATGGCATAGTATGGGTGTTAGGATTACGGAATATCTCTTCAAAAAAATTGTAGAAATGCCATCATGACCTACTGCGGCATTCGATTTTAGTGACATTATAGTAGAGGCAACTTCGTCAGGGTCCGTATCTAAAAGAACAAATGATTTTCGACATCCATTCCTTGAGGTCATTGGTGGGCTACTGAAGGTATTGGGTTGTATAGTTTTTATGTGATCAGCAAGATCTTCTCCGATGTTCACAAAGAATTCATTAACCTCGTTAACAGATTGAGAGTAGGTTTTGGTAGAATTGAATAGCTCTGTTGGTGTTCGTGTAGTTTTTGTACTATGTATCACGCGTTTTACAGTATCCCATATTAATTTAGTATTGGTACCTGCTTTGGCTAACTCATCTGAATCAAATTGTCGTCTCACTTTTTTCAAGATTTTGTTACAATAATTTCTATATCTTGTATAGGTAGTTAGCAATACTGTGTTATCCGGCGACTGCCTACACTTTTTGTGCATTTTGTCCCTATTTCTCATGCATCTTAGTAACCCTGGGGTAATCCAGGGCTTTAAGATTCTTTTATGTTTTGAGATATGCTTTGCCGATGTATTTTGCTTAATTGTCTGGGAGAGTGTTTGAACAAGACAGTTTGTTGCGGAGTTGGGTTCTGACATAGTGAGTATGTGAGAGAGGTCAAGTCTTTCCATTGATTTGTCGAGAGAGACGTAGTTTGTTTTTATTATGGAAGTGACTGGATGATTGCACTGTGGCTTTAGGTGTAGAGAGAGGAGGGTCGCAAAGTGGTCAGTTACCGAAGACTCAAGAACAAAAACAGAAGATGGAGATCTGGTTCTCAGTATAGTATGGTCAAGACAGGTAGAGCCTCTAGTTGGTAGGGTATGAGTTGGCAGAAATCCGTGGTAAGCGAGAGAATTCAGGTAATCATGGCTTCGATAGTCCATGTGGTTGTTTTGATCTGCATTGATGTTAATATTTATGTCGCCGGTTATAACAACTGTTTTGAATCTATTTAAGGAACATAATATTTCATTTAGCGAGTTCAGGAAAATTTGAATACAATCGTTAGAGGGAGATCTATATATACAAAGTATAGCGACATCCGTGTCCAGTTCTATAATTAATCCAGAAGCAGACCCCTGAAAATCAGGCTCGCGGGTTTTATAAGCTAATTTGATTGATATATATACAACCACGCCGTCACTCTGATTACGGTAGTTATTGGTATGGCTTATGGAGTAGTTACGGAGCCGGGGCAAGCTAGCATTACTAAGACAGGGGAGCCAGCATTCGGAGAGAACAATAATATCGCATTCCATGGAAAGACGGGTAAGGAGTGTTTCAAAGTTATGGAAATTATGATTAATTGATCTAATATTTTGCGAGATTATATTCAGGTAGTCGCCCGGGTTTTTAATATATTTGTTACAATCTTCAGGTTTACAATAATATGATTCAGATATAGAAAGATTATCTAGTTGGCTATTTAGGAGATTTATATCGCTAAGCATTTTTGGTTATATAAGGTGCAAGTGAAAGATGACTCAGGATAAGTCTTAGATATAGATGAAAGCTTAATAATATGAGCACTGGATTTAAAGCAAAGCGTGATTTGAATGTACGTGTATGTACTTGTATGTATACAAAGGAGTATGTGTTGTGAGGGAAGAGTAGCCATTGGTGATTCCGTAGCGTATGTAGGAGTACAATAATGTGTTTTGATAAATGTGTTTGTGTAATCTGAGTGGTAAATGTGTGTTCATACAATGATAAACAAAATTCTACATCATCAAAATTAGAATTACAAACAATTGACTCCATAATAAAAATAACAACATAAGAATGATGAATAACTGACTTAATAAAAAAATATGAAATAAAATAAAATAAACAAAGCTGACTTGTTAAAAAAATCATTATGCATGCTGATTGAAAAATAACTAGATAATTGTGTAGTCATTGACCTTTCGACAACACAGCGAGACACTTTGCTGTTTTTATTTCAGTTGGTTTTTCCGTCGGGGATTTACGCAGCAGGATTTTGCCATTGGAATACCAGCTAGAATAGTTGTGAACTTTAGCGAATGTGCGGGCTTCATATAAGAGCTTTTTAAATGATGGTGGAAGGTGCTCGTCTACGTACACCGGTTTTTTATCTCCCGATATTCCAATCAACTGAGTGTTTAACTTGTTTTCCAAAGTGTGTTCTTTGTTAAATTTCCTCACATTAGCTAAGAAATTGTTTCTGTTATTAACACTGGCGAATTCGGCAACAATGGGTTTACATACACCCGGTTTTCCAGGAATCCGATATATGTCCCGGAGCGCTGCTGGTTGTGTATCCATATTAACAGCCTTCCCGATGTCAGCTAAAACAGAAATGAGGTCTTCGGGCTTTTCTCTCTCTTTGATTGGGTTTCTTACTTGGGAAGTTAGCGCTACTAACTGAAGAGAGTCCAGTAAGTCGCGTTGGAGAGCCAGATGCTACTTACCAGCGAATGAAATAAAATTTATTGTATATTTGTCATCTTTAGAAGCGTTTGTTAAAAAGGAGGGCGATCTAAAAACCAATGTGACTAATTGTCATATGATTTTTTTTTAAAGACAAATCTATACAATATTGGTCGGTTTGAATGCTTGAATTCTTGTTTTTTGTAATACAAGAATAGAAACAAACTAATGAGAAAATGGTAGTGTAAGTCACTTATTTCATATTTTGGAAATACTGACTCCTTAGTACTTTTTTCACATAAACATTTTGTATTAAGATTACATAATTCGTTAACCTTTAAATTTTCCAATGAACATTACTAATATAATGTAGGATAGGAATTGGAATGGTGTAATATAATATTTAAGTAACGTACGTGATTGTATCTATTGATTCTCTCCATTCTGTGGCCAATCCAATCCTGTGGCCTGTGATTACCCTGCCGTGTCTTTTGACCCGTCATTAGATAGAAGCCGTTGTAGTGAAGAACAATGCTCCCGCCGATACTGACCGTCACGATACCATGTTTAGCTACGTTTACTTACATTTGTTTGCCGATATAAGTAATCATTACAATGTATCACGATTCAATTTCATTCGGTCTGTAGCATGTTATTGAAAAAAAATCTTTATTTTATCTGTGGTTAGTAAATATAGGACACGCTAATGCTTGGTAATGTATGTTGGAATTATTTGTGCCTACATGTGAATAGCAACCTACGAATCACATTTTTTTCTTTGTTTCAGATTCATTATTGTGTGCAGTTATCTTGTACTATCGAGAGTAAGTTTTACTTTGCAAAATTAGTTTATAATTTAGGAGTTTAGGCAAATCGAGCTTACAATTATTTAAAATACTGTGTTTGACTTATCTAAACTTTTTTAATGTCAAACGTTTTTGGTTTAAAGCAATTTGTCACGGAAAAATGCTTATTTATATAGATATAATTGTTTTAGTAGTAGATATAATTATAGACTTTATTTATATTTTCATTTCTATTGTTTTGGAAGAATTTATTAATTATTTTGTAAATAGTTTAATTTCAAAACATGTCATACAAGAGGTCAAATAGATGGTTTTTTTTTTTCCAAAAATGACATGAATTTTAAAGCTTGTTTTCTTTGCACAAAAACCCACGTTAAAAAAGAGGTTCGGTAGCTGCAGAGAATTACAAATTATTAATAGGTACTGTGAATATTTTTCCTTAGCATGGAGATGCGGCATCGGCACACATAGACTCTGCTGAGTATTCGGATTCGACAGAGATATCAGTATCGTCCTCTTCGGGATCATCCTCGGCATCAACAGAACTACACGAAGGGTCTGGGGATGATCCTCCTGATCCCCCATCTTCTAGTACGAAGGTAATCTTAAATACTTTGATCACTACTACTTTTTAACTGGTATAAAAATACATCGACTATTACAAATCTTCATATTGCTGCCCTAGTGTCGTCAGCCAGAGTCTTTATATTCTCCGTCTTACCAGAAAATGACAAACGCTTTCTCATGTGCCTATGAATTATTAGTTAGGCCAGTATATAGTTTCCCCTATCCTTATCGACAAATTAGATAATTAATGTTAGTATCAGCGTTGTGTTGTTCCTAAGCGGGAAAGGCAAAGCTCCCAGAAGTTTATAGACCTTGGTTACATATATAGTAACAGATTATAACACGTGTAACATCTAGTTAATATTTAAAGCAAGAAGCAGTTGCAAAAATATCTTATATAAATGCATAGTTAGGATGTAAATGGAATCTATATTTTCTTTCATGCCCAGGGATACCTCTTGCTAATTATGTGGAAACTGTGTTTAATGTCGATGATCGAAAATGTCCAATACATTATGGAATTATTTTCATTCGTGTAAGACTTACACAAAAGCTATAAAGAAAATATTGTGCAATGTGCATGCACAATAGAAAAAAGAAGCTACTTTAGTAGTATAAAAGTAAAGTTACATGACTGCAAAAAGAGCTGGAAATCAAAGTATTAAAATTTATGCAACATTCTGTCGATTAACTAAATTTAGTTTATAATAGATTTGCAATAAAAGTGTATATTTTTACTGGAGGCTGTTCTCTATTCTAATTAATTATAAAATTAAAAAATAAAGTTTTATGACAATTCGATTGAAAAAGTTATAAGATAGCAGGCTAGCTATGACTCTTTCACTTTGTAAGCTTCAGAGTGATAATTTCACAAGAAAACATAGACCGACAAGCGCAGTGTAAGACGTCTACAAACAAGGTGGACAGACCAAGTTGTAAAGATTGTTGGTCGTCGCCGCGTCGGATGATGCAGGCAGATTACAACAGGTTATTTTAAAGCTATTTAGGTAACGATCTATCTACCTAGATAGTGTTAAAATATTGAAAAAATATGTTTTTGACATTTTTTTAAAAGTGTCATTAGTAAAACATCCCTATTTTTTTCTGTTCTTGTAAATATGTTCGTGTACATCCGTGTTGTGACGGATTAAGATTACGGAGTCTCCACAGCTTTACTTTTCCTCCCGTAAGAGCCGAGTAAAGGAGCTAACTACGCAGGACAACAGCATTGCAAAGAGCAAAGGCAAACTTGAAAAAATCCTATACCAATCCGTCTGGCCAGCGTGGTCTATGCCCAGCAGTGGACTATTAAAGGCTGTTGATGATGATCCGTGTGATGACGGATTAAGAATACAGAGTGTCACCACCCCTATTCATCCCGTGGGTGTCGTAAGAGCCGACTAAGGGAGTAAACTACGCAAGACAACAGCACTGCAAAGAGAAGGAAAACTGGAAACAAACCCTATACCAACACGTCTGGCCAGCGTGGTATAGTAGGCCAAAACCTCCTTTTTAAGGAGAGGCCTACGTCCAGCAGTGGACTAATAAAGGCTGTTGATGATGATGATGATGATGATGATCAAATATGTTTTAAAACATCCTATTGTACAGAATTAACTAGGTTTTGTTTGCAAATTCGTTCATGTAAAAGTATTTTTTTCTATCCCTCGGGACATCAAAGTTGTTTTCGTGGCAATGTGAATTTATATTTCATGCATATCGGATAAACGTTCCTGCATTTACATATACGTATTCGTTCAATTCGTTGCATAAATTGCAAACAATCAAAAGTTGATTTTTTATTTAAGATAAGGCTTTGCCCATGACTTCGCCCTCCTAAAATAATCTTTCGACCTCTCAGAAACAGTACTTGTTTGGATGAAGGGTACCTTCAGTCTCTGTATGCCTAGCCACGTGTTTTTAAAGGTAAAAAGTTACGATGATCCAATTAACGGTATGGCAATGCATAAATATTATATAAAGAAAAGGAACATCGGTTTTGATATATATTAAAATAACCTTTTAAAAGTTTACAATATAGCTAAGGAAAGTTTTGAATTAAATGTTTAAATGATTGATATTGTCGACAGAATGAAACTCGGGAGGCTTTAAAGAGTGATGGCAGTGAACAAGACCCGGTAAGTGCATTACTTTAAACAAGTTGTTTTAGTGCATACCATACCAGGACAGTATAAAAGAGGATGACGACCAAGTAAACCTATGTAGACAAGTCTTTTCAACTGTTACCCAACTTTTAAGAAGCAAAAACAGAAGGAAAGAAGAAGAAGAAGAAGTCACATTAAAAGGATCTAGTGTGAATGCCACAAGTTGACGGGTAGATCAGTATTAATTTGCCTTAACTTTTACGCATATACGCATTTGTTACCCAGATGCAGTAACTTGTGAACAGAAAACCTCTTACCCCCTATTTATTTTTATTTTTTCTGTGCGGAAATTCCCTCGTATACCACATATCGGTGGCATGTCGGACTCGAACCGACTAAAACCGCACGCCGTCTCGGTTACTAATAGCCGGGGAACCAGGTATACCCTAGAAAGGAAGTCCCTGGTGCCCCGACATACCTCGGGCCATCTACAGACGAGCAGACGACCCCCCCCCCGTGTGGGAACCCCATGTTCCCTCTGCTCTCTGGAAGCGAGCGCGCTTCGCAAAGCGCTCGCCGCCACCCCGGCCTGCTTCTGCCAGGCCTGCGCTTATGGAGGACGGAGGTCGTTCTGCGACCTCCGGCGCCTGAGTCGCCTGCGGTACCTAGCCCGTTCCCGGGCCTGGCTGGCCGAGAGAGTCCTAAACCTCTCCCAGTTCCGCTCCGCCGTCTCCTTCGCGAGCATAACTTGCTCGCAGAAGGAGACGGCAGAGTTCCACGCACTCTCGCTCATCAGGCTATCGAGCGAGAGAACTCCCACTCCGATGGCCGCCACGAGGTCTCGCCTCTGCTCAACCCACGCCGGGCACTCTGTCAGCGTGTGGAGAGCCCTGTCCACGGTCTGGCCATCGCAGTGGTGGCACTCAGGTGTTGGCTCCTTGCGGATTAGACACAGGTGATCCCCGAAACATCCTTTCCCAGTGATCACCTGCGTCAGTCGGTATGAGAGGGTCCCGTGACGTCTCTCAAGCCAATCCTCCATAACGGGAACCTCTTACCCCCCTAATCGTCACGTTGCGCACGGGGTTCACTTAAAGTTTTGTTAACATTTATACATACAAAATATTAAAATAGTAAAATGTAATGATTGTTTAAGAAAACTGAACAATATGCATAGAATTTACATTCACAATTCAAACACAATTCGGACTGGCAACATCGGTCTTAACGACACTCATCATTTTTACAACGTACATCTTGGGATAGAATATTATGCATTACGAAGCTCTCTTGAAAATCTGTCCTATCGGTGTTCCATTCGTGAAAACCATTTTTCGTAAATCTTTCTGAAGGGCTTGATATTCGCATAAGGTTTGAATATTCATTGTTATATTCCCTAATTTTTCGTTGCTAATTTATTTTGATAATTTCTTAAACCAAGTACCATATTATTTAAATCAAGCACGTGAAATTAGGATAAGGATTTAAATATTCATAGAAGAGTCACGTTTCGGCACATATGGGCATGCTCGACCTATCATTGTTTTTCACTAAGTGACTGAAGTACCCTTAAGCATAACCTGCGGAGGGACCTTCTTCTAATTATTTTTATTATTTTATTCGTTGTTTAGACATAAGTATGACACAAACATTGTACTATGGGGGGCCTGGTAATCTGTGTAAAGGGTTCCCTAGAGCAGAAGGCAGTCTAGCACAACGGTCTTGAACAATTACAGTAATAACCTAGTATTAAGTAATCTTTGTGGAAGAGACAATAAACTATATCTTATCTTAAGTCTGGGGGGAGCACTCAAAAGACGGTAACTTACTCATGTATATCGAGTTGCAGGTGTCCATGGGTAGTATTTACTTACCACTAGGTAACCCGTATGCTTACTTGCTTCCTACCCAATTTTTTTTTATTCTAATTACATTTTCGAAGATCTTTGTGTAGCAATCGCTGTCCGGGAAGTAAAAAATAATGAATCACCTGCGTCGGTGGTGCAGTGGTAACGTATGCGACTGCTGTGCTAAGGTCTCGAGTTCGATTGGTCGGACTAAATGTACCTATGATCTGAAAATATTCGTTTTGGAGTTTGGGTGTTTTCTGTGTGTATGTAGTTATTTACAAAAAAAAACTGCTTTGTTTAAAACTAGATGGCTATGTGTGTCAATGTACGACAATATTATTAATTAAAAGCCAAATTAAATTTGTATGAGCTCTAAATAGGTATAATAATTTAATTATATGAGTTAAACTTCAATCCAGATTCCAAGATTACATAAATATTTACGAAGAAAGTGAAAACGAGGCACACTGCATTGGTTTTACTTTCATATATTCATAGAGCGGCCTTGAAACAGACTGTATATATTGGTGTACGGGTATATCGTGACGAGTCATGTAATCCATACGAACAAAGAAGTTTAAAAAGAATACGCCACCGCTCCGGCCTGTCTCTTTCATCGTGTTTAATGGCTCTGAAAATAGCCGCATTTGTTAACAACACCAAATTTATAACTCAATTATTGGCGAGATTTTGTAGATTAAATTGTTCTATATATATTCGAAGTGTTAGCACACTCATAACATTTCGTTTTACTATGAATAGCTCATGAAATTCATTAATAATTAAGTTCCTTGTAAGTAAAAACGTTTCGTTATTGATTAAATTTTTAACATATAATATATTCGCCAATTTACCATGGTATCTGAATTGTATTGATAAACCAATGTTAAACAAATAATAATAATATTACGAACATCTGACACACAACTCCATCTAGTTTCAAACTAAGCAGTGCTTGTACTGTGAAAGCTAGATTTACTGATAGTTTTTTTTTTTGTAAACATTAATATAATATTCTACCACATTTCCACAACGCCATTTAGTCCCAAACTAAATAGAGCTTGTACTATGGTACTAGAATAATAACATAGAAAACAGCCAAACTTTTAAATAAATATTTGCAGATCATACAAACATTTGGTCCGACCCGAGAATCGAACCCGAGACCTCAGCACAGCAAATAACGGAAATAATCTTGAAATATTTATCTGTCCATCTCATTACAGAGTTTAATGATATTCTTATACACAAATAGACAGTTAAAAGTAACTTATAATATTAAAAAGGCAATGTAAGTACATACTTTTATCAACTTACAATCGAATTATTTACTTAAACGGTAATTTTCATATTTGTGACACACATTAGGAGTTTTCAAGAATTGATCTACAAAGTAGGAACAGCAAAAAAGTAACGAGTCCAAATCGTTATCGTGCTTGCACAAATTAGCCATGAAAATGGGTGAAAGGGACAACATAATAGATCAATTTACACCCATTTGTACGATTATCGATAAATTGATTGAAGGAATTCTTCGTCACAGTCTATCTTTTTCCTTTCATTTTATGAAATTGCTATACTTACTTGTGGCATTGGTTCTACGGTCAATCTGTAGTGAACGCGGATGATGGCATCGTGTTTTGTCTGAAATGTAAACAGACCTACTTTTTAGTAGAGCAATTAAAATGCTGAGTCTAATATACAGTTGTTGAATGTCATTATAGGAGTTGATTACACATTTAATTTAAATAGTTTTGGGAGCAAAAGTTTATCATTAAAAAGATTTTTCCTTAATGCGTGAAATTAGTGTGTGAGAGTTCTTGACGTGGTATCAAGATTGCTGTGCTTTAAAACAGTGAGGATAAGTCTCGTGTTGTACTTCGTTTACAATTTAATGCATTTAGTCTCTCCCTGCATGCGCTCTTCTATAATGTAATAAACAAAAAAATTAATACTATTTTTTTATATAAAATATTCCACTATTGCCGTTAAGAATACAGACTAAATAATCGAGCGGGTATTTTAAAACACCTTGAATTTACTACATATTTCACTAATCAAATATATCCTAAAACAATGGGTTGATAACAGCTATTATTTCTTTTACACGCGTGAGTACCCTGTGGTACTATGAATACGGTAGGCTCGCTGGCAGGTTGCTTAATTCACTGTACTGCCGTATCCGACTGAATGAAGCAGGCCAAACCATAGCCTCATAGAGGACTTGTGCAATACAATATTGAAGTTGCGAAGGGCTTTTCTAATCTGATCAGGTTATCATCTGTAGTTCCGGTCTAGATTTAATGTGTATAATACACATATAAGTTAACTTATCAATAAGTTTATTCTGCGTAAGCGCTCAGTTTTTTAATAACAATAGTAAGTTACATTAATATTGCGGTTTGACCAATATTTCTTCATGTGGTATACAAAACCACTTCTCACCAATGTACATAAACAAATTAACGTGATTGAATTACATCGTGAGAATGGAGCACTACGGTCTATGTTGTGTTTCCAAGAAGCAAGCAAGTGTTAGATTGATGATAGCCATCTCTGACCTGCGTATGTCGTGGTACGCACCGGCAATTTACCAGTTATTTGCCTCACATTGCATTTAAACCATGAACAACAGTGAGTCGCGTGTCCTAAATCAAACTTCCCTTTGTGACGTGTTATTATTAATACTTATTGTTTAGATTCGTGATAACAGTATCTGACCTGATCTAGTGCAAGACAGAGGTGATGGTGTCATCTTCTTATTAATATATATATTAAATATGTAAATTCGGACTTTATCGCGTTAATATTTAAAAGGTACAGATTGCCATTTTAATTGGACTCTCACTTTTCTATTTACTACCAAAAAATATAGAATACTACTTTCATTAGCATCGTTTGTAGTTAATGAATGTTTAAGTTTACGTATTTAAAATTTGTTAGCTTAGAAATTTTGTAGTTACAATTGAAATTATTCGGAAGTAAATGATTATCATTTTACTACATTAAACTACAAACCATTTTAAGTAAAGAACAATAAGCTACAAACCTCTACATCGTTTGTAGTTCCCAGGTCTTTTTTTCAATATTACGTTATTTTGAAGTTTAAGTGAGATTTCTGAAATGAAGTCACGCAAAATTCCCTTTTTTTTTGTAAATTCAGTAAACCACAAACTTATTTCTTATATTTAGTGCTTTGTACATAATTTATTGTTTTTCTGCGTTATTATTCATACCACAAAAAATAAGTTAGCATTGTTAGTAGTTAAAAATAAGAACAAAGAAATCAAGTTTTTCTCAAAGCGGTTTCTAGCGTGGTGGAGCTTATTATATATCTAGCGCGGGAGTTTTCTAATAAAAAAAGTGTATTGTAAATAATAATTGTATAATTGATAAATAATTGTATAATTGTAAATGGCACTTAGTAAATTAACATAATATGTATTTTTTTAAATTTAGCCGTAAGTTTCCCAAATTAAATAAAAAAATACAGTAAATTTACTCCATGTTTTTTTTAGGTAAAGATATGTCAGACAATAGTTATGTCTGGGTAGATATAGTTTATTGACCATAGCTGTAATATATTGAATTAGTTATTGAACCCAGATAATGTTTTATATTAAAATTGAATTAATAACAAACCGAGTATGATCAATTAGAAAATGATATAGAAAAGGGTTTCATTTTTAATGTCTACCAAATATTGTACAGGTAGTCACAGTTAAGAAAACTGTGAATTCTAGTGCGATTACGTTTGTTTAATAACGTTCAAAGTTTTATATTACGTAATCGATCTTGTATCTTAATCCTGAAGGGCAATTCAGATCCGATCAATCTCACAACTGTCATAAAATATATTTTCGCGGTAAAGTATTGAACATCTAACGTTGACTGTAATGTGATTATATCGTAATGTAACAGAAAGTTGAATCGGTAACCTGCTAGCCTTAGTAATACTTTACTATACTACAAAAATACCTTGTACGACAGCTGCGAAATCAAAAGTTGATCGGAACTGAATTTTGACCGAATTTTTATTACCAGAATTTCTGATATTATAAACACTTCCACGTATTACCTACTGTACCAATAATTACAAAAGTCCATATACACATTAACATGGTTACAATAAATAATATTTATTATTATAATGTAAAAACTTTTATGAGTGTAGGTTGTATATTATTGTTCTAAAGATTTTTCATCTATCATATATGAATGAATACTAAATGCTGATAAGGCACAATTGTGTTATACTTATAATGTCAGTGCTCTGGTTTTCGAATCCACAACCGACACTGACCACAGAATTGACCACATGAAAAAATTGTTCATGAAAGTGCTTCCATTTCGTATTATTTTTATTGAAAAATTATGGCGTATTTTTATTTGACCTAGATGTTAATGCCTAAATTTAAATTGTTTGGTTTTCTTGAAGCAATTTGTCAAAGTGATGTGGCGATGCGCTAGCGCCGGCGCCGCCAGTACCATCACTCCACGGGCCCAATTTGATAATGCGTCGGTAGGCGGCGCTGTATGGCTGCCGTGCGAACCGCCCTGACATACTTATTGCCATTTACCACTTTTTAATGAACTTTCTAAGGGTCGTTCGTGACTGTGAAATTTACATTACTGTATTATAATAGTTTGTTGTAAATGTTTTTGTATTTTTTAGTCGTAATTGATTAGAATCTTTCCGATCCTCTTTATTGAAAGGAATGTGGACATAAAAATTTTGTTTGTTCATCCATACTAATATTATATATGCGAAAACGTGTCTGTCTGTCTGTTACCTCTTCTACCTAAATTTGGTATGGAGATAGTTTGAGTTGTGGAGAAGGAGATAGGCTACACTGCGATAACCGACATACACGCGGGCTAAGCCGCGGGCAAAAGCTAGGGTGGAACTAACATTTTTTATTCCTATTGTTTATCAATATTAGCACCTGACATTTCTAAACATTTCTAATATTAGCACCTGACAACTCCCGCATTAGGAATATATCCTGTGTCGCGGGGGACTTTACAAACATACATGAAACGGACACAAATAACACTTAGACTCAGAACAACAATTTGTGGATCACACAAAGTGTCGTCCCATGAGGGGTTTCAACCCACAACACTCGGCGCAGTAGGAAGCGGCGTGGCGACCGCTTAAACCACTACGCCATCCATGCAGATTGTTTCCATACATTGAAGACTACCATTATGATATCAGAAATACCACGTGGTTCTTAGTAAATAATAAAAACTTGACATATCTCACATACGGCTGTATGATCCACAACTAAACTAAGCCTGAACTCTATTCTAATCAGGGTGCTGATAAAAGTACTTATTTATTCATAAATTAATATCTAGACATAACTAACGATGGTACGTATCATAAAATTATTTGTCCTGGGTGGGAATCGTACCCACGACCTCTGTCTTAGCAGTCAGGGTCACCACTCAACTACTAGACCAACAGGTCAGTTCGCCGGCTTTGAAGATGTTTTTTCTAACATAACACTAACTAAACTAAAGACTCTACTAACATAACACACATGGATCTACCCATATATTCCCGTAGGGGTAAGCAGAAGTATATTAAACGCTAGCATTATGCGCACTGTAATTTTAACCCCACTTAGGTAATGAGGTAAATATACCCAAAATGCCGTCAAACGGACACTTTAAGAATTAAATAAATAAATTGGGAATTCGATAAGAAAGGAAAAGTTTGTAAGATAGGTAGGCAGTCAATGGTAGGAAAAGGATATAGCGTATTCGGATAGATTGGGGACTGGAAGCAATAGCTCGAATATGTCCGGCTCCAATCGAACTGACTGTTGTTGGGAAGTCAGAGTCTTATAACCTAACCTATACTATATATGTATAGGTTATAATACAGTTACAGGAGTTGAAACTTTACAATCCTTGGAATATGGAATATTATAAATAAATCAAGTAAAGCAATGGTAAAATTGTTAAGTGGTATGATCGAAATATTTTTGGCCTATAGACACAAGATTATGAGGGAAAAGTAGTTGTATAATAAATGTGTAATGAAAGAATTAACTAGAAAGTATAAATATACATATAATATTATGAGACCATAGTTTTTAACTAACAAGTTAAGTTTATTATCTTATTTATGTATGTACGTATGAACTGACAGAAAACTATCCATTTAATTAAATACATACGGAATCAGTAGTGTGCGAGTACTACTCGCATTTGTCCGTTTTATAATTAATTATTAAATTAATAAAAAATACATGGGAAGGTTTTTATGATGTTTATTTGTTTTACCAGATAGCAACCGTTTATGTAGTTAATTAGCGGAGGTTGTAAAATGCTTTGAAGGTAGTCAAAAGTCGCTAGTGCCGGAACTTGGTAGTTACGACTTATGTTATCTCAGGGCTATCAAACGTTGCAACACCTCCGTCACTGCCTGCTCGCCAATGCACCCTACATGTTAAGAATCCTCATACAAAATGAGTCCATTAGATTAAAATACAAATAAAATTAAATAATGTTTAATAAGTTTAAGGTCGTATTTCACAAATACTTTTTCCTACAGGTTGTGTTCTTAGCAGACAAGAACAGCTACATTCCCGTGAGTATAAAACCTCGTTCGCCGCAGATAGACTCAGCGTGGCGCGAGCCGCCTGCATGGGAGCGCGAGTACAGAAAACATCGGACTAATGGCAGTAGAGTTCAATGTAAGTATCTACCTACTCGTACGTACTCGTAAGAATAAACCTAGGTGTGATCATATTAGACACACTCTTATAGTGCAGTACGAGTGTACTGAAATTTAGCACCAATTGGCATTATATATAACGTGAAGAATGTTTTCAGCAATAGAATAGTCGGCTACGGCATCGGTCAATTGGTCAGCTAACTGGTGGCTTATAAAGTGACCGAACTGCCAATTGGTGCTACTCTATTCTGTCAATCAATCTAAAATCTAAGAAACTTAGCGATGTGATCTATCCTCTAACTTTGAATTTCACTCCCTAGTTACTTTGATAAGTGGAGACTAGAGAGTGAAATTCAAAGGTAGAAAGACTGGCCGTAACTCCAAATTTCACCAGCTTTAATATCTCAAGCAAGCACTTTACCAACGACTGTGTGATTTGACAGTGAATTCTAATAACGAGAGAACTATTAAAATTACTCATCTAATATACAAGCATCTAACAAGTATTGTGCAACCGGACAAATTAAGATGTCTATCAGAGGCGCGTGGCGCCGGGCTTGCATAATCCTTTGTTTCCGTTTTTATAACTTTTTTATTGAAGTATTCAAACTATAATACCTACGATCCTCCTGATACCATTGTCCACATATGACAGACGGTCTGCGATAAGTGGAAGAATAAGAAATAATTACTTACTCATTATTGTTTTAACAGACATTGAGGCGGAGTGTCAAGACGACTTTATGAAGATTAGGGTCGGTTTCAATGGGACTTTCGCAGGATTAGTCTATTCGGCAGGTAAGGAAATATTTTTTTCACTTCCTATGGTTTCTAAGCCCTGGTTTGGAAGACATTTTTCTATAAGACAAGTTATATAAAATTTTTAAGACATTAATTATTTTTCACTTTAATCGTTGGTCTAAGCCGTAGCCCAAATCAGGCGTGAATGAGATGTATTATTTCCATTAGAATTACCTTAGACCTAGAATACCTTGTCAAAAATAAGAGAAAATAACTTGCCTTGTTGTGTTATTGCTCATAAGCAAAAGGTCTTTATGGATTTAGTAATGTTGCAGTTGAAAATTTTATATCAGTCAGAAGCACTTTCAATTAACAAAATCTGTGTAGATTGTAACAGTAACATATAATGTGTTACACAAGGGATATAAAAACTAAAAACTAAAACTGTACTAATAGGTGCGCTGTAACCGGAATGTAACATGGTGAGGGCTAATGGGAGCCTTTATGTCCAGCAGTATCTACTATCAAATAGGACGATTGTTACGATTGTACCGGGTCCTAGTCGTGTAAAAAACATCAGTACTAGAATCAGTGAGAAAGTGCAAAAAATGAACTTAATCAAATTATATCACCTAAATTTTACTTGGCTACGAAAAACATTAAATAAAACTGCAATACTATGTGTATTGCAGTTTTATACCTCAGCAGTACGAATACCTCAAATTAATTTAAGTAGGTACCTTTACGTTCCTTAAAAAAATCTTGTTTAGCTTTTTATTTATTAAGTAGATTCGTTCCCATGACAAGCTACACAAGTACAACAAGTAAGAATTTTATAACCGTTACCTATGTAACGTGCCTTCAATTAATACCCAGAGAAATTCGTAGTTCGTGCAATGTAATCGGTCATCAGCCCTATACCGGTTGTGCAGATAACTGGAACAATTAAACCGCGAGACTAGACAAGTGTCATTACATTGTCATTGTTACAAGCGCCTTGTGTTCCTGCGCAACAGCCACATTGTTCCCATGTGCGAAACTATATGTGTATATCTACATACATCTGTAAATAGTCGTTCCGTGCCACTTTGCGATTTTGATCGCATATCAAGTTTACAAGGGCATAAGCATGTTCGATGTTATTATTTGATAAATTTGTGATGTGACATGCTTACTGCTCATTGTCTTTGTTGTCATGAATGTAAAGTAACTTATTAAGTAAGTTTAAAAAAGTAATAGTTTTAAAAACTAAAAAAACACGCTTTTTATAGAAAACCGAACCAAAAAAATTGAAAATATTTTTTTTATAAATTTGAAAAAAGAAAAGCGTTGGGTGCCTGTTGTCAATAGTAAAAAGCACGCTTTTTTTCTTAAAACTATTTCTTTTTAATATTGTTTTTTTTTAAATTAGTGTAATGTCATTCTCCTCCAGTCCAGGTCCTCGATATATCTACAAAGTTTGAACGAATTCTGACCGTTTAAAGTCAGTCAAAATCACGCCGAAAGGAGTCGGTTACAAACAAACATACAAGTGAAGCTAATATAAACCGTGTAATTTTAGGGAATTAACGGGTTAACGTCAGGCAATTCAAAGGCATGTAAATATCTTTTAAACGCATTTGTTCCTAAAATAACGATTGCATATCATGAAAATTCTGATAATTCAAACATGGACATCTCAGAATTAGAATCAGAATTACCTAAACAATTAATGCATTGTCTCGAATACTATAGTGCAATAGTAATAGACAACAACCGTATAGCATAAACTTATATACTATAAACTTTTTAGATAATTTCGACTATATTATTACAAATTGGTCTAGTGCCACGCTCGGATAATCAGATTACCGTTCATTAAACTTACAAGCAATATATTTGTACACTAGATAATTACTAGGATTACCCTTTTATTGTCAGAGCATTGTTAATTCATTCGTGAGACAAACGTTTAATTCCATAGTTTCTTCTATCTACACCGTTACCGCAAATTACTGTTGTATTAAATAAACACGTACCATAGGGGTAATTATTTGTCATTTTTGACCGTGTTTTAGTCAACTAAGTAACCTTTTCACCTAGATAACGTACGTTGTTTGACGGTTTCGGTTTCTAAGCACTTTCTTCGGAGTGCTTATTGCTGTGGCTAGGTCAACTCTGTGAATTACTTGTGGTGGGCTCAATTGCCATAAACGTTGCATCTAGTCGTGACATTGTTTCACGATCGGTTGTTTTTTGGAGGTCCAGATCTACCGACGTCTTTGTGCTATTTTCTTCTACGAATGACCTTCTTACCTCATATAAAAGAACCACTAGATGACGTAAGCAACCGTATGTTATGTTAGTTCTAACGTCAATACTTGGTTTGATTTCGGTTTTGCTTCGTCTATTAAGGTTTTTTGTCGTCTTCTGAAGAATAAGATGCAGGTGCAGATTTTTTTGATTTTTTATATATTTATATAGAATATAGATTATAGCATTCATTAGTCCACTTATAGTAAATTACTTTTTGTTATGAAATGTGAAATAAAATTAAAGGAGGTTAAAGATCAATCAGGAAGTAGGAGAAAATGAGTATATAATAATATAATATTCTACCACATACACACAACGCCATCTAGTCCCAAACTAAGCAGAGCTTGTACTATGGGTACTAGACAACTGATATAAATACATATGTACTTTTTTTTTGTAAATACATACATATTATACATAGAAACACCCAGACCAAATCAAACATCAAATGTTCATGCACACAAATGTTTGACTTGAGCGGGAATCGAACCCGCGACCTTTTGAATAGTAGTCCGTTACACAAACCACTACGCCATCCGGCCGTCAAATGTTAGTTCATTCCTGCTTACACGACAACGGCGAAGTCAAAATAAGGGTTTTAAGTTTAGCCTGTATATGTGAGTATCAAATGTAAGGGTTTAAAAATTTGTAGACAATGAGAGCTGTGGAATAGCCGTGGCCATATGGCAGCTTGCCACCTAACGAGCGTTTTATGTACTGTTTTATGTATACCGATATACCCAGTATATTCTATAAAATGTAGATATTGTTTTCTATTTCTATTCCTTTTGGTCAACGATTAAGAACACGGAGTGTCGCCACCCCTATTCATCTCGTGGGTGTCGTAAGAGCCGACTAAGGGACCAAATTATGCAGGACAAAAGCATTGCAAAGAGAAGGAAAACTTGAAAGAAACCCTATCCTATATGGCATGGCATAGTAGGCCAAAACCTCCCTTCTAAGGAGAGGCCTATGACCAGTGATATATTGTTTTGTATACAATGGTCTGTAAATAAGAATGTCAAGCAAAATTATGTTTTGGATCGTACTCCTCGGAGAATTTGATATAAAAACAATTGTCATTTACATTACTTTGAACCTACCGATATACCTACTCAATATTTTAAATTTTATAGGCTATTCATATGACCCGGATTGTATGTACATTAACGGGACTGGTCGAGATTACTACGAGTTCTACATACAGTTGAACAGATGCGGAACATTGGGACGGAACGGACAACACGACGACAGCAGGAAGCATCCCACTGTGAGTTACTTTATTGGCATTTCTTGTTTGTTTAGGCGATTTATCTCTTTTATTTATTTTTAATTTCTTTTTGCTGTAGACATTGACCTACCGTTAGGCCCATTCGCTTCTTTTACGATTACAAAACTTTTTTGTAAACTAAATTGCAAAAACATGTAGTAAGATAACGAAGTGGCTGCAGATAGACCTATTTAGTATATTGTTGCGTCAATAATATTCTAAGTGATTAGTTTATCTGTGTACAAGCACACAAACTATAAAATCTTGCGGATATTTTGTTAGGGGTACTGAAAAGTACAAGGGGTAATCTTTGTTTAGAAAAATAATTCTATTCCCAATGGATACTTCAAATATTGACAAAATTATAAACGGGCAAAAGCTAGAGATAACCCACCTAAATTAAAGTATAATTGCCATTATACTAAGTATTGTTAGTTTTTTATAAAAGTAAAGTAACATTTAATGGTGAACTAATGGAATAATGGACTTGGCAAACACCCGTTAACATAGTTGTTGGCACGTTTTACGACATATGGTCATGGAGTAATATTTTTTTCAAATGTCTGTGATGACAAATGTGAAATTAAGATAGTGCTTAAATAAGAATTAATAAATTAATAATCGTGAAATTACAGTCTGCTCACTATTTTCTTGCTCTAATACAAATAAACGAATTAATATTTTGCAGGATTTGATGCGTAACAAGTCTAGGATCGTTAATAAATTTGGTTGTCTCTTACTAATTTTTGGGGTTTTAAAATTTTCATACTGTGTACTTTTGGTACATGGTGGAATAAAATTGGTAAAGAATTATATTGAACACCGAAGTGATAAGGTTCATTATTGTACGTTGTGTTTGACAGAAGAACCTTATGTGGAACACGATAACGGTTCAGTACAACCCACTGATTGAAGAGGAGTTGGATGAACACTTCAAGGTCACTTGCGAGTACGGGTACGACTTCTGGAAGACCGTCACGTTTCCCTTCTTAGATGTCGAGTGAGTACAACACCACACTGTATTTAGTTTAAGAAAGTGTATTAACTGCTTAAATGTGTAAAGCGATAGCTATGATAAGCGTTGCCATCATAGAGTGGCATGCAATCTTGGGTATATCGTGTATTTTTTGTGGTTATTAAACATAAGCCGTACAGGGTCTTTACATCTACTCATCCATGATCACGAGCGATATGACCTAACGAAAGCCTTAAAAGTGGTGAATTTTACTCCTATTATGTTTAAGGTTTCTCTTTAGTGATTAAACACTCAAAAACATTTACACTGTCTAAAGAGAAGCTTTGCACATATTATATATTCTGTGGTCTTCTGAGACGTGTGTGCTTTTAGAACTAATAATTTACATTAGACATAGCCTGTTAGTTACCGCTAAAGTTTTAGTTTACATTTAGGCATAAATTACACGTATATTTGTGGATACGGTTAGCAGTTTCTTCAGATGACGCATAAATAATATGTATAGTCATCGCTTGCTCGGACCCCCTGTAGTTGAGTATGCAGCCTACTGATTTATTGAAACAGAAATTGGCAGTAACTTCATACAAAAGTTTTTTTTTTACTAATAGAAAAAGGTGGAATCAGTAGATGTTTATGTTGCTTTACTTATCAACCACAATGCTTGCCGAAGACCATGCCAGATCAATTGTGCTGGGCGATGCGCACGCATGATTTTGTTGACACAGATTTCGAGGAGCAACAAACAGCAACCAAAGCGGTTGAGGTGTATCTGGGCACTTTAAAATTTACTTGTTTATTTAGATGATTAATTAAGAAGTTAATTAAAAATCAACTAGTTACGTTTATAGTAGTTTTTGTTTTCTAGACGTACATTTGAGGTTATTAGATGGTTTATGTATGAGGTGGGTTTTAGGTCACTTGAGAATTTGAAAATGCTCCCTTTCTACTCATAATAATATATAATATTATTTATTCAATCAATCAATCAATCAATCAGTTTATTTTCATTGCGAACATGGGTTTACAATTAGGTGTTACAGTTATAATATTTTTTTCTGCCACATTCTACCTTTAGGCATGCAATAAGATAACATTAATAACGAGTTGGGCTTATTTAATACATCATACGAGGTCAGAATTCTATTTTATGTCAATATCAATTAAAATAACAATTACAATTATATTATTAAAAAAATGAAAAATTTCATAATCATAATAAACAATGTATCACATTTATTAAAAAAGTGTATTAATAGAGGGTATGGTGTAGTTATTAAAAACATGCATTCTATTATATTTTCTCCGTTAAAAACTCAGTTACAGAATAGTATGCTTTCATTTCTAAAAATTCTTTTAACTTGCTCTTGAATGCACTTATGCTCAAGTTTTTCCATTGTTGCGGTAAATGGTTATAAATTACTGGAGCCATACAGAAAACACTTCTACGCATAAGCACAGTTTTTGCTTGGAGTAGGCGCAGTCTACTATTATCACGCCTGTTCCGTGTAACCGTATCCTAAAGCCGCGGAAATAAGCCTGGATTTGTTTTAACAAACATTGACATTTCCAAAATATAAATGCTTGGCAACGTCAATACTTTATACCTCTGAAAGTAAGTTTTACAGCTATCGCTTGTTTTTAGTTTAAACATTGACGGTATGCATCTCTTTTGACACTTAAAAGCAATTAATGCATCTGTAGAGTTACCCCAGAAAATGATGCCGTAGCGTAAATTTGAGGCAACTAAACCGTAGTATGCGGTCATCACTGTTTCTGTATTGACGATTGACGTTAACGTATGCAAAGCGTATGCAGAACTACATAATTTTTTGCAAAGCGTCTCTATATGTGATTTCCAATCTAGTTTTTTATCTATCGTTAACCCGAGGAACTTCGAAGTCGTAACATTTTCTATACTATGATTGTCAATGTTTATATTTTGGTATATATAACTGATTGGAGCGATCCGTTGACTGAAATGTATAATCTTAGTTTTATTTAAATTGATTTTTAAATTGTTAATGTCAAGCCAGTTTATTATGGATGTCAAGGAATTCGTAATGTCATATTTATATTGAGTTATAGCATTATTACAAGATATAGTAATTGTGCTATCATCTGCGAAAAGCGTTACAGTATTTTTTGTACATTTTGGAAGGTCATTAATATATAATATAAAAAGCAAAGGTCCCATTACGCTCCCCTGAGGGACACCGTACAAAACTTTCCGCTCATCTGAAAGATATAGCTCCTCTCGTTTAGTAGTGGAGTTTATTATTGCTATTTCTGTACGTTGTTTTCTGTTCTCCAAATACGATTCGAATAACTTTAGGACAGTACCTCTCACTCCATAGGCATCTAGTTTTCTAATTAATATATCATGTTTTACATAATCAAATGCCTGTGTCATATCACAAAATATTGAGCATACAGGTGTTCGTTTGTCTACTTTCATCATAACTTCATGAAGAAAGTTGAAAATTGCCAAATTCAAGGTTTTGTTTTTACGAAATCCATTTTGTTCATTGCACAATAGATTATTTTTTTCCAGATATAGGTACAGTTGCGTATGTATGAATTTCTCAAATATTTTGGAGAATATGGGAATTAAAGAAATAGGCCTAAAATACTCCATAATATTAATTGTAAGTATTTTTAGAATAATTATATACTAACGAATACAATAATTACAATAAGTACATAAGCTTACAGTAAAGATTAATTTATGTATCTTGACATTAGACGGCCATTTCTCCTGTTTTCGTCAGCAAAATATTTGATCATGTGTGCCACGTTATTTGTATTTAAAATAACAAGCGATTTATTCCCTATCAAGTAAATACATCTTTAAAGAGAGACTTTAAACTTTGATCCAAAGTTAATAGTTACCCTTAAGCTTTAAACTGAAAATAATAATTTAAAAAATAAGAAAAGACTCATGTAGGTCCGAAAGTAATACCTACTCATGAAAATGAGAATCTTAAGTAACGCAGTTGATAAAAGTCGCAAGAATAGACCATGGCAATAAAAAGTCGTACCGACATCTCTTTCAATTGCCAAGTTATGGATATAGTTTGGTCGTAGCTAGGTACTGTTACTTATTATAGGAATAAACGTGTCAATAAATATAACGAAATAAAATTAATAAAGTACTATATAATGTTATTTTCTTTACAGAGTAGCGACAGGGAATCCAGTAGTGTTTACTTTACAACCGCCTGAGTGTTACATGGAGATTCGGTCAGGATATGGGGCAAGTGGAGCGAGAGTGTCCGGCCCGGTGCGGGTGGGAGACCCGCTCACGTTGCTTATCTATATGAGAAGTGCTTATGGTTAGTGAAAACTGATTTTGGAATAAGAAATATTTACAAATCCAAGAATGACGTTTAACCAAAAACCAGTCAGAGACACACAAGCTTGTTTTACTAGTATCACCAATTTAAACGGCATATTCAGTCCAGATACCACAAAGGTATCAAAAACTACCTATTTGAAGATTTTGTTTAGGGTGTCGAGGTGGCAACTACTAGAAAGTAAAGCTTGTTAAGGCCTCTTGACATTTCGCCCGTTTAAGATACCTACTTTATGATAGGTATTAATGTAAGTAATATTCATACTTCTCGATCTCTACTTACATCCAAGCCCAGTTGTCCCCCGCAAGTTATGAGTTAGGTAATGTCTTATACTCGAAAATTCGGTATTGATTCTTTTGTAATTCCGATTATTATTGAGTAAAATCCAAACGTTATAATTAACATTCAAGAAATTATCTGGTCTGCATTCTTAACACAATAATGACCGATTTATTTATACCGTAAAGTTCGAGTGAACTAAATATACCGAAAACAATTAAATACCGTAACTTAAAGGGCGATGTTTAACGGTTTAATTATTAAATGATCGCATGTCTAAAAACAATACGGAAAAATTTCCAGCGATTTCAATCACGTGTTTTGCATTTTTCTTTATATATTATATATATAGTAAGTAAGTAAGTTAAGTAATAAACTTTCGTTTCCAGTAATTAAAAGAAGTTTATACATATTTAAAAAGTGGCTTTGTTAAATGTACTAAATCAAAACCTTTACCAATAGAAAAAACAGACGCTGTTTAAAACCATTAATGAAAATAACTTATTTATACTCCAAATGGTTGTAAACCATGATAGCAAAAAATTAGAGATGAGGAAAAGGCAAACAAATTTTCATGTGAAACATAAGACATTAACTGTGGTTTTCAGTATCTTTTTTTATTAGCCATGATAAGTATTAGCATTAAAAGGAGAAAACTCCCGTACTAAACTAATGTAACCGTGGGAGAGCCATGTTTTTTACGTACGGGTTGTCTCGACCGAAAAGATACCCCGGCGTCACAGAAAATCGGTATTATGCAATTCCTACGTTGTTTCCCCCTGTCACTTACTGGGGGAAAACAACGTAGGAATTGCAGTGGTGCTTTGAATGCCCCAAGTAAACTAGTGAGTTTACTTGGGACATTCAAAGCACCACTTGTGTCTCTTGGTCAGGTGTACATGAGCGACGTTGGTCACAAAGCATGAAGTGAGCCATCGTTATACCGTAAAAATGTAGCATATTTCTTTGCATACTTATAATGGCCACGTAGTAGGTACACCGTACTTTCTTCTAGTATTAAAGATACCGAATAGTTGTATCTCAATGTTGTAAAGTGAAGGTTACAAGTATGTGTTATATTTGTCTGAATGCTAGTATATCACGCAATAACTGGCAGTAAAATTGTTTCTGGCCGCTTTTAAACATTGGTGTTGTGCATTTCAGATGGTTTCGACATTGTGGTAAACGACTGTTTTGCTCACAACGGTGCTACTAAACGGATACAACTTATTGACGAATATGGGTAAGATACTAATATACTCTAATAAGTATTTATAAAATTACTCTAAGTAACAACCAGTTACACTGCCCTCCCCTCTTTTATTGACGTCAGGGCGGGCAGCCGATACTGTAATGTACCTATGCGATAATGGTTTAAAACCATATAGAAAGGCAGAGATTTTTAAGCGTGCATTGTCATCTAATAAGTATTAAAAAATATATATGAGTCCTAGTGACCGTAAAATTCAATCTGTTTGTTATTCTTTTACAAATGAAAGATGTGGATGCGCAAATTAAAGTTATACTCTAAATGCCACTTTCCAATGTACGTTTCTCATGTTTTCACTCGTTTGCAAACGTTCTTCTTTGAAATCGCTGATTCTGATTGATGCTCTCTGTTACTTTATAAGAATACCCGCTGGAACGAGTTCGTTAACTTAAGCTTTTACCCTCTTACATTGGAAAGAGACTAGGTCTTTTAAATATCACTTCGTTTTAGGTTAACTTTTATTTAACTAGAAAGGTTCACTTCGTTTTTAGTATTCGCACATTCAATAAAACTGAACATGTTTCATTTTCCAGTTGTCCTGTAGACGACAAACTCATATCTCGGTTCCGGGGTTCGTGGTCGGAATCAGGAGTGTTCGAGACACAAGTGTATGCCTACATGAAAACATTCCGCTTTACTGGTTCACCAGCTTTATACATCGAGTGTGACGTCAGAATGTGTCATGGAAGATGCCCTGTGAGTATCCGTACTGTCTTATTACAAAACGTAAATTTAAAACGTTGATTTATATTATAACGAGATTTATATTATGATTTTATTTTATAACTTTTCTATGGTAGGTAGCTACTTACACTCAAATAGATAATAAACAAAAATACAAAAACTAAACAAACATTTATTCAGTGTCACAATAAAAGGCCTTGAAACTTTGCAATAATCCTAGTTTCCAATTTTCTTTTAACAAAAATATAAATCAGATAAGTACGTCGTGTTTTCAAAATGCATATTTTTTTGTTATTCAGTCACAACCGTGCCACTGGCGTAACATGAAGAACGTTAAGCGTCGTTCCATCGAAACTACACCCGGAGAAGAAACCTCGAGCCCCGCACCTCGCCTGTCTGAGAATATATCGCTGTTCCAGTCGCTCAGAGTACTGCAGGAGGGAGAAGAGGATCCCGAACTGGCTGCCAGCACAGGTGATAGTGACAGTTGTAATATACCTAACGTTCTAGCAGACAAAAACTTACGTGTTTAGCCACAATTTACAATACGGAATTATAAACATTACCCACACGTTTGATAAACGTTGGATATTATATGAATGAAATAAATAACATTATACCTAATATACGTTAAATTGCCTATTTGCTGAACATTACCTAACTTGAAATTGTGTCATTGTTGCAAAAAATTGTAGTTAAAAATATTGTTTTGTCTTAGCTTAAGCCGGAGGTCGTGGATTCGGTTCCCACCTAGGACAAATGTTGGGTGGTAAGCACGATCATTTGTGCTGTCTGGGTGTCATTTATTTATAATATGTATGTATTTAGAAATATATAAGTATGTTTATTAGCAGGCTGGTTACCATATCACAGGCTTTGCCTAGTTTGGGATCAACTGCCGTGTGTGAGTTGTGTGAAGTTATCATTATTATAATAATACGATATTCTTTTCCAGGGCCTCCCGAAGGCCAAACCTGTATGAAAACATCAGCACTTTCTGCCATGATGGCATCCTGTGGGGTGTTGATCGCAGCGCTGTGCGCGGGCGTGCTCGCCGCTGCTCGGGGCTGCCGACGTGAGGAGCGAACACCGCTTCACGCCTACGTGCCTCATAAGGGACGGATCAAATAAACTTAATAACTATTAATTTACTTATTGATGTGAGAGGATAGGTTTCAAAACTGGTTTTGTAGATTATTCGTTTTTATGAGTTGTAACAAATCTCCATACGTAATCTCGTACCATAGAGCGAAACATGTAAAAAAAACATGTTGGACGATTTTCGGTTAAGAATTTAAGACAAGGATAAGAGTTATTGATACAACTCCCACCGGTGCAGGAGTAAGGGTTTAAAACCAGCATTCTCGCATATGTAACATAGGAGTTAAATAACAATATAATAATAAAGTTACTTATATATACTATAAAATAGTCTATACATTTTCTACTTTTATAATTTGAAATATATCGAGCTGCAGACATTAAGCCAAAATAGAATAATAGGAGGAAAATATTAGTAAGTAAATAAATATGCAATATGTTATTATTAAATAAGTTTTGCACCGGAGCCCATGGTTTGACACGAAAGCAATATGTCGGATCATTAAAACGCAGATAACTTATTATGTGTATTCACGGGTATACGTATTATTAGTCTAACTCCGCGAATACGGATCTCGAGCTTTTTCCACTTTTTCATCAACAAAATATAATTATCAAATGTTCTGTTCACTATGTTTGCACTTACTATGTTATTTTTACAACATCTCGTGGTTGACTGGGAGAGAATGCCTAACGTATTAAGTCCGCCAATGTACTACTAGTGCATAAAGTTTTAAGATAAAAAAACGGCGTGAAGGTCTATGGAGGGTTCCCGGTCGGTATGAAGTTCGTTTCGCTTTTTGGTAGACGTTTGCCGTTTGTCGGAAAAAAATATTGTTACACAGTTTTCGGTCTCGCTCCCATCAGCTCAGAGCGTGTAACGCGCCATAAGATACATCGTTCCAATAAATAAATAAAATCAGCCAAAAAAGTATCCATATTTTCTTTCAGCATATCCGGGAGTACGGATAGTGTTATCTGGCATATCACTGCTTAGAATATAAATGTAACAAAACTACGTTAATTAATGAGGTAATGTAGCTGTCAATTGAATGGATGATTTTTGTACCTATGAGATTGCAAGTTTTTTGACACTACATGTAGTTTGAATATGAAATAAGGTAGGTGCCAAGCTTAAACTTTTGGTATTCTTATTTATAATTAGAATAACTCGGACAAATTGAGAGGATCTGTATTTTTGTATTAAAATATACCTCCTCCATTTGTCTCGCACTATTTATACAAGCAGTTCTCCAAGTTGTGATAAACTAAGTATTACATAGGATTAACCATAGTATATTACGACCTATGATTATATTTTTAAGCTAGCAACTTTTGTGTAGCACGTTGACGCTTCACGTTACAGATTGATTAGAAAAATAGTACAGATAGAGGGGAGAAGGTATTGAATTGCCTGTAAGTGGAATAGCGACGTCGGTAGAAAGAGAAAGAAGACAGCGACCACTTCAGGGCAACAAATCAGCGAAGAGGTGCTAGAGAGACGCTTGTAAATCGCCATCTTCTTTCTCTTTTGACCAACGTCCTCGGATCGTGGCTCGCTTCACTCCTTTATTTATATATTATCTCTATGGTTTTATTTACTGTGTTTCACTTTATAATTTTAGTTTAAAAAAAAAATGGTGTTATAAAAATGTTACAATTTCAAATACTAAGACAGTTTCAATACAGACGGACGATGTTTTTAAAAGCCACATTGCGTATGCTGGTAATTACCTACGTATGGAATAGGTAAACGTTACTCCATTAGTTCATGGGATTCAATTAGTTTAATATTTTTTTTAAATATTGTTTCATTTTGTTACATTTTTTTTTCGTAATTTTCATGCTATTAAATAATACAAGTAATTGAGACATTTCTTATAAACTCGATATCTAATCAGCTTTATAGCGTTAACATCGTAACGTACGTTTACATCACAGAAAATAAAAAAATAGTAATTTACAACTGTAATCTGTAAATATAGAAATAAGGTATAATTAATAATTAGTTCTAGTTTTATTATTATATAATTTTACCTAATATTCTTGTACTGTTTCCTATTATTTATACGGCCAATGAAACATGCATAATTTTGTATACATATTTCAAAAAACGGAAATATAATAATTTTAATAATTACTTTTTTACTTCTAATACCGTCCCTGTCACCTGACACCACGTGCCAGGCGTGCACATAATGTCACGTCACAACGTTGTAACATAGCGCTATCACTAATACTGCACATACTTTTTTTTATAAGAATACTTCCGCGCTGGGAATAAAATATCCTGTGTCGCGTGAGCTTTTACAAAAAATACTCAAACGGACACAAAGAACACCGAAACTCAAAACAACAATTTGTGGATCACAGAAAGTGCTGTCTCATGTGGGGATCGAACCCACAATACCAGCTCAGATGGAAGTGGCGAGGTGACCGCTTAAACCACTACGTCATCCGTGCAGTCAAACCTGACGCCAAAACTGCAACAGCGTCGACAACATTCGAATTTTGCGTCGCTTTCTAATTGCGAAATGTAATACTCGGGTCACCTGTCTACTAAGTATCTGTGCATTATTTTGATTCTTTTATTTTATTTAAAGAGATATTATCTCCCACATTTTGACGGCTATAATTTTAACCTCACTTAAGTAATAGGAGGCCAGGTTATTGCCGTCAATAGAGCTTTTCTTTTCTAAATAAAAATACCTATACATAATAATATTTTGGACATCTGACACACAACGTCATCTAGCATCAAACCAAGCAATAAATAATTATGGATAAATAATTCATAATTATGGATCAATCTAGATTTCATAGCTTATACTATGAAATCTAGATTGATCCATAGAATACTTACACATACATAGAAAACACCCAAACTCCGAAATAAATATTTGCAGATCATACAAACGTTTGGTCCGACCCAGGAATTGAACCCGAGAACTGAGCACAGCAGTCGCATACGCTATCACTGCACCACCGAGGCAGTCAAAGTGCAAACATGTTACAGATACATTACACCCATTGTCTACGCACCAATCAACGCACGTGTAAATGATGTGATATGTGTTCCGCCAATGAGAGACGTTTCTACACAGTGACCATTTCAAAAGGGATTTCTAATGTACGGCTTATATACTTAGACTTTTTGTAACAACCGCACGTTAAACATGTTTGCAATGTACAAATGTAAATTTTGATTAATTACACAAGTTCACGATATACAGTCTTACGTCTATTTTATCTACGCACCCAACGCAACAAGCTATCGAACGAACATATGGTCCTTTTTCAAGCCGGACATATCAACGTAATTGAGCGGCCGACCTGTGGACTTATTAACGTAGAAAAACTTGGCGCTTATGCAGCTGGTGGTTCCATGGACAAGCATACATTCGCTTTACCCGATGCTTGACTAGCTGGAACTTGAAGAGGTGGCTTACATCACAACATTGCGCATCATCATCATACCGTACGGCCATCCATCTTACTTTCCTTCCGTAACCCTAGCTGTATACCTTCTAATTCTGTGTGTGTCTAACCCATATTTCATCACAATTTAGCTGTGCAGTGCCTGTCAGTGTCCCCAGTGTGAGACATCATAAACGTAAGTAAATTCACTTTATTAGTGCAACATGACCACATTGGAGTCAACTGATAGGACCAGGGCCAGATCGCCTGTCAAATTAAACGCTCCAGGCGACGAAACCATGTATGTTAATCTTGTTCGAAAACGCGGTATAACAAAGGGTAGATTAACTAGATTTTCTAATTATATATGTAGTTTGAAAAGTGCTGGTTTATTGTCTCCCATCGAGAAGGCGGATTTAAAATTACGCATAAAAACTGCTGAAAGTATTTTTCAGGAATTTAACGACTTTCAAATAAAAATAGAGGAATTAGTTTCTACAAATGATCTTGAGGAGCAATTAGATCAACGCGATCAATTTGAAAGCTCATATTTCAGTATAGTAGCTCAGGCGAAGTGTTTAATAAATGATTCGGAGGTTGGCGGAAGTCCTAGTAGTCATAGTTCTAGAATTGACTCGGTGAAATTACCAACAATTACGCTCCCTACGTTTGACGGCTCATGTGAACACTGGCTTGAATACCGAGATACCTACATGTCACTAATTCATGAATCTCAGCATCTCTCAAATATACAAAAATTTCATTATCTTAAATCATCATTAAAAGGAAGTGCCGCCTTGGTCATAGAACAACTAGAATTCTCTTCAAATAATTACAACATTGCTTTAGAATTGCTTCAGAACAGATATAACAATAATAATTTATTAATACATAATCACGTTAAAGCATTGTTCAATATTCAAAAGGTAACAAAAGAATCTCCTATCTTATTAAAAAAACTAATTGATTCTATTTTGAAAAATTTACGTGCCTTAAAATTACTAGGAGAACCAACGGATACATGGGATACCCTCATTAATTATATTATTGTCACTAAACTCGACGAGATTACGGAGCGAGAATGGGAACAGTACAAAATTTTAAATTTTAAAAGTAGCAACGATTTGAATAATAAGCCAAAGGTGGTTGATTTGCTTGAATTTTTAAAATCGCGAGCAGATATGTTAGACACATTAAGTTTAAATCACAACAAGTCAGTATTACACAGTCACAAACACAATAATAAAGTACATTGCAACATTTCGACCAATAAATCTGATCGCCACTTATTACGAAATAGGCAGTGTTTAATGTGCAAGTCTAATCATTCGCTTTATTCATGTGAACAATTTTTAAACGCGTCAACTAAGGACAAACTCGAGTTCGTACACAAGAATAAATTATGCGAAAATTGCTTACGATCGGGTCATACGCCAAAGGAGTGCAGGTTCGGTACTTGTAGATTGTGTAACAAAAAACACAACTCTTTACTACACACAAACAATAACACAACCAATGAAAGTATTACGGGCCTTATCACAAATGTGAGTTATCTAGAAACCGGTTTGAGCACAAAGAGGCACTCGCCTCAGGCAGTCGTTAGCGCCGAGTAT